ATGAGAACAACAGGGCTATGGGAGAAGTGTGGGCAAGCCAGTTGAGGACAGAACAGCTTTGGAAACCTTTCATCCCCTCCCGCCCCGCCACTAATAAGGGACAAACGCTGGAACAAAAGGGTTAAACGCAAGTTGTGTTCGGATAAACAAAGCCACGGGAGGCCAGGCAGGTGGAGAGCAGCCAGCTCAGATTTGGCACTGAGCAGGAGATCTAAAAGGCTCTGAGGATCATCGTGCACAGGCTGGCTCTTGGCTTCAGCTTCCCCATCCCCGTCGAGTTTCTCGTCAGCTCTTGCATGGTGAGGAGTGAATTATGAGTTCTGGGTCTCAGTAAATAAAAATCAAAGAGGAAAGTCTGATAAATGTGCAAGAAAAGGGCAGGAAATGTCTGGGTCACTGCCACCAACTCTATGGGGAGCCATTGGCAAGTCCTTGGAGGATTTTTTCCTCCCTCTTTTACCTCTTCCTGCAGAAAACAGAAATAAGGAGTATTTTCTGCACTTGGTCTTAAGAATTGGTAACTCAGCATTCTGATAGATCTTCCCTAGGATCTCTGAGCAGTGCTGCAAATAACATCTAATTAACAATGTCAATTAAAACATTAATTGTAGATTTACTTCCCAAAGAGTGACACTTATTTAAGGCTGGTCAAGCAGCGAATAACACAGCCTGTCAATGCACTGAATAAACCCGAATAAACTGTGTCAGGAGAGCAGCAGCTTCCTCAGGAATTTATTGGCTGATAACAGCAATTATTGATTTAATAAGTGCTGTTCTAAGGCACTGTTTAATATCTGCTGTCGTGTCCATATTTCCATAAAATTGTGATATTTAAGATGTTGTTATCATAGAATAATAGAGTTGTAGAATGTTTTGTGTTGGAAAAGATCTTGAAGCTCATCCAGTGCCACCCCTGCCATGGGCAGGGACACCTTCCACTGTCCCAGGCTGCTCCAAGCCCCATCCAGCCTGGCCTTGGACACTTCCAGGGATCCAGGGGCAGCCACAGCTGCTCTGGGAACCTGTGCCAGGGCCTCCCCACCCTTTGAGTAAAGAATTTCTTCCTAATACCCAGCCTAAACCTGCCCACTTTCAGTTTAAAGCCATTCCTCCTCATCCTGTCCCTACACGCTCTTCTCAAAAGTCCCTTGTAAATGTAACCCTTGAATTAAACCCCTGAAAAATGTGCTTCCAGTGAAAATCATATTTTATTTATTCTTCATTTCTGAGAGAGCAATGCATTTCATTAGACCATTGTATAATCATGTGAATGAGCTTTCTCTTCTTCATCAGTGAAGTCAAGCACACCAATTTCTCCTTGTTTGTGTCCTAAGAGCAGGAAAATAAGAAGTCTTGTGGGAAAGCCCACGCAGTGAGGGGTCCTGTGGTCCTGCCCACTCCATCACTGGCAGCAGAGTAAATTTAATGAAGTTTCTCTTGGGTCTTCAAGGCACTAAGGTGAAAATACAACCCTGAAAAACAATGTTTTGAGGTAACAATGTGAAAAATGAGAGTGACTCCTCTGTGCCTGGCATTCCTTACAACCCTTTAAATGCAAGGTCGGGTCTTGTCCCTCTCTATGAAAAAAATATTAAATGTTGTGGACAAAATTAATCAATTTAAACTCCATTTCATTCTCAGACATGTGAGGGAACAGCACCACTAATGCAATGGATTTCTGTCAAGTAAATCTCCATATTTTGCTGCAGGATCTGAAATTTGCACTGTCTGAGGGCAGGGCAGCAACAGGAGCATGCAGGAATTCAAAGGTTTATGGTGGCTGTATGTTCCCCCAAGTCCTTTTATATATATATATAAAAATATATTTATGTATATATATTTATATATGAATGTATATTTATATATTTACCTAAAATAGATCTATTTTATATTAAAATAGAAAATAGTTATATTAAAATAGTTATAGGTTTATTAAAATATTAAAGTTATATTAAGTTATATTAAAATATATCTGCTTCTAGATATTTTATAAATACATTTATATATTTGCATATATTTATATATAAATATACATGTTTATATGTTTATATAAAATAGATCCGATTATATATATTTATATATAAATACATCTGTTTTTATATATATATATAACATATATATGTTTTAATATATCTGGTTTTGTATATATAATATAAAAATACTATATATATTAATATACATATTAATATATTAATATACTACTATATTAATATATGCTAGTATATATGTATATATACAGATATATTTTATACATTTCTATAAATACATATATTTAAATAATTACATAGAAATAGAAAAATATGTCCATGCACCACAAATATAATTGTATATGTGTTCATTTCATCCCAACACTCAAGAGATGAAATTTAACTTTTTTGTTGTAACTCAGGGCATGATGTTCAATGTAAATCTAATTAACTTTCTGATATCTTAACTTATTAGTGAAAATTGAGTTGATGAATCAAGCCTAAAAGCCTCTACAGACAAATCTTGTACTGGATCTTTCTTCAGTTCATTAGTTAGGACTCAGATATAGAAATATATGTTAATCAAAGGCTTGTTTGCTCCTACAAATCAGAAAATTAATGTAGTTGGAAAAGTGAATCCCTTCAAAATGTCCAAACATAGTGAAATGTAGTAATAATTTTAATATATATACAAAAATATTTCTGTAACAAGCCTATTCATTTCTGAGAAACTGCATTAATGTGTTGTAACTGTTATTACACATGTCATGAAATTGAAAATGAACTAAAATGTAATATTTCAACATCAATGAGACTGACTGCTATCTATATTTAGAATGAAATAATGATAATTTTTGCTTCATGCTTTTTAGATTGTAGGGGGAAAATAGCTGCCTTCAAAATATTTAAATTTAAGAGAAATGTCTTTTTCTGAGCCATCCCTGTAATATGCAGGATGCCAGGAACATCAGGCATGACTCTTCTTAATATTGGCCTGGTCTTCCTCCAGAAAGAATTCTGCACAATTTTAAGGTCAAATTACTCTACAAATGAGAAACTAAAACTGAATTTTTATAAGTCAAAGAGTTTTTTGGGGAGGTTTTCTTGCAGCTTTTTCTACCCTGCTTGTATGGGTCAGTGTGAGGCACAGGCTGCTGAGTTAGGGGACCTCACTTAAGGGACAAGTTCCATCAGAGCTGCTGGTTTGAGTGGCAGATGCTGTGAAAAAAAAACCGTGGAAAAAGTGATAAAAGAGTGGTGGTTTGCTCTTTGATCCTCTGGCTGCCTGACAAACTCACGGATAAAAATTCCCACAACCACAACCTGACATCCGTGTCCTGAATCCGGATTTTAGCAACACATCCTGATTTTAGCAGCAATTTCCTAAAACTGAGCTAGATTGCTGCTAATAAACCTGGGATTTGGTGGGTTTAGGAGGAAGAAAGGTCTCTCCAGACTATTCTGCAGAGCCATCCCTGATGTTGTGCCAGGAGTGTGGAGCCTTGGCTGGGAAATGTTTGCTCAGAGACCTCCCCCAACATCTGCAAATACCCAGGAATTAGAGTCACAGAATATCCTGAATTGGAAGGAACCACAGGATCATCCAGCCCAGCTCATCCCTGCACAAAATCCCACCCTGAGCATCCCTGGGAATGTTTATCCAAACCCTCCTGGAGCTCTGGCAGCTTTGGGAATGTTCCCGTTCCCTGGGGAGCCTGGGCAGTGCCCAGCACCCTCTGGGGGAAGAACTTTTCCCTAAAATCCAGGCTAAATTCTTCCTGTGGAATCCTGGCAGCAGCAGGAGTTGGGCAGAGAAGGATGGAGACTGCAGGTGTTCTCACTGTGGCTGCCAGGATCAACCCTCCAAAACTCCCCAGTGGGTTGGATGTGTGGGATTGATGTTTAATAATCCATCAAAAGTCACAATACAGCCTGCCTGATGCTTCAGATGAGCTTTATATACTCCCAACGTCATTTTCACATTAAACCCTCTTTTTTTTCTGTCTTAAAAAGTATAAAAGCACATCTGATTTACTTAAGAGGAGACACAGAAATCAAGGAATTTAAAATTATTATGTGAACTATAAATTTTTAAAAAAATGCATTTTATGCTGTGCTCAAAAGCCTCCTGTTATTATTTTATTTCTTTAGATGCTTTCTCCTTTCCCATAGGATCAAAATCAGTCTTTGCTTGGATTTTAGTTTTAATGAAACGTTTCTCACACAATTTGGCGAAGGTTTTTCCAATCCCTACATTTGACCACCGGGGTTAAAAGGGGAACAACCTGAAGCCCTGTGGCTGCTCCAGAGGATGCAGAACTAAAGTGGTGTGGACATTTAACCTGCTGTAGTGGGCAGTGGAGTGCTGGGAATGGTTTTTCCCTGGTTTTTTTTGGGCCACTGTCAGCGATTTGCAGCAGCTCCCTGAGGCTCCACGGTGCAGCAGCTCCACTCCCTGGCCCGAGGCAGCTCCTCCTGCATCCACCCAGGATCCAGCAAAATTCTGATTTCAACCCAATCTGGGTTAAACATTGAGCACAGGGGGTTGGGAGCCTGGTTTGGCATCATTCCAACAATTAATTTGGGAAGAACGGAAGAAAGGGAAAGGGAGGTTTCTAATGTAAAACCGAAGTTTTATCATTTCCCATTGTCAGAGTTGTGTTTTTAGGATGTTAAGCAGCATGGGTTTGGACACAGTGTTTTGGAAATGTGTGAGTTTGTCTTACTTCAGAATATTCCCCTAAAAAATAACTTTTAAAAATCCACAAAAAAGCTCCTACACCCATTTTTATTATTCTTCCTAGAGTCTGATGAAACTCTGTGATAACCAGATATTTAACAATATCAACCCTCTTCTGAAAAGCCTTTTCCATTCATAAATATACAGGACTAATACAGAAACAAAGATTTAAACTTGCAGCTCTTCTCTGAGCTCTGCTACACCCATTCCTCTTATGGGAGTCAAACTTTTATCAAAATTAATTGCAACCTATTATCATTATGAATTAATTAGTTTTATTCTTCTAATTTCAGGTTGGGAAGTGGATAATTTGGGGCAAACCCACGCAGGTAAGAACCAGTTGTGTTGCCTTAGTCCTTGGTACTTCTGTTCCCAAAAATTGTGTGTACATGATAATTTCAGATGATTAAAAAGTTTTCTTTATCAGCCATTATGACAATGATTCATGTACTTAACTCTAGTACTTGCACAAAAAATGAAATGAAAAATCTCATAAGTCTTTATAAATCAATATGATTTTACCTAAAGCCACAAAATTAAACTATTTTATTTAAACCAATTTGTTACTGCTCTTTGTCATTGATGGATGGAAATAATTTTTCAGTAATTCTCTGAAAACTGGCCGTATTTAAATACCTGTGGATTATAAATGTAAATTCTTATAGAAATAATATTTGACTTCTATATTTTTGCAGTAAACTTTGCCCCTGTTTATTGTATGTGCTTTTAGTTCTAAATTTAGAGGTTCAGCTTTGATTTAAACTCTCAAGTAAAGCTATGTTTGCTTCCTGAGAAGACAGCACCAAGTATTTATTGCTTTTGGGTCTGATCTAAACAAATAAAAATCAATTGCACTCCATTCAGTGATTTCCACGGAGACCAGTTTGGTCTCTAATAGAAAACACAATCAAAACAATTTCATACCAAATTTCCACTTTTCTAGGTGATTATGACCTGCTGGAAAGCACAGCCCAGTCTCTCCTAGGTAAGAAACAGAACCATGGAAATTTTAGTCTCAGTTTTCCTTTATTCTCTGTTAAAAAGGAAGCTCTCAGCTTTTTTTTTTTTTTTCCCTGAAATTTTGGTATTCTTTTCTAATAAATTCTAATTGTTATGACATTTTCTGCTCTGTTACTTTTAACAATATTATGAAAATGTATTCCTTCTCTATTAAGCCTTGCAATCTAAGAAGTGTGCTGCTATAAATTATATCTACCTGATTAACAGTAATTATTAAATGGTGTTAAAGAAAGTCAGCACCATGATTCAGTGCTCTTTTTTCCATCGAAAATTAGGGATGAATGTGCAAAAGTAATTTAACAAAATTTGCCAAGTAATGCAATGTTCTTAAATGAATGCTGTGATTAAAGAGATGTATTCTGCTGCATGGATGGCAAACAGATTCTCTAAAATAAGGTTAAAAATAAGGTTATGAGAGACTAAACTGCTCTAAGGATGCAGAGCAGCACAACTTTAATAGCAAAAAGCAAACCCAAAACTTGGAAATTTCCATCAGTTTTGGCCAAGGTGCAGCCAAAACTCCAAAACCTGTGATCATTTGATAAATATTGGCTGTTCCTTTGTGCTGGAGAGGAAGAAGTGCAGCAACAGCCAATCCCTAATTTTTTAGGAAAATCACTGAGCTTTGGGAAGAATAATGGTGCTTCAAAAGAGCCCCACAGGGACTGTCCCACCTCAGGCAGCTTTGTAGGTAAATGAGTGTCAGGAGATTCTTCCTCTTCTGCCCCCAGCTTTTCATTGCTAGTCTGGTTTTAAAGCCAAAGTGTGCCCGTGAAACCATCTAGGAGCTGGTTCTTAGATGAGATCAGCCAAAAAATTATGGTATTTAAGCCAATATTTCCTTAAAATTAAGGTTTTAAACCAGGATTGGAATAATTAATATTATTATTAGAGAAACGTGAGAAGCTCTGAATTCACCAACTGAGGCCACCTTGGGCATCTGGAGGTGGAAATGAACACATTGTAATGAACACAGGGATGGGAGAGAAATTCCCAGTCCATGTTCCTTTGTTTTCTGCAGACCCTTCCCACAAAGTCACTCTGAGATCAGAGCCTTGGGGGTAAATGAGTGGGATGTGTGTTCTGTGCCTACAGGAGAGCAATCCTGCTGCCTCTCCATGGATATACAGCCCATGATTATCTGAGATATCCCACAGTCTCCTGACTGGCTTCCAGCCCCTGGACCAAAACCATCATGTTAGTCTGGTGTTTCCTCACCAGTCCCATGCCTCATGTGCCTCAGATATAAATCATTAAAAATACCACAAAGGGCCTGTTTTTAGGCACTGGACTTCCCCTTTGGGAGTGGAGATATCTTCATCAAAGCTGTACTCCTGAAATGCCTTTTTGAAAGAAATGAACATTTAGCTGACCCCTGGTTTAGGAACCTACTTGAGAAGGAGATTTTTGATGGCCTGGAGACACTGAATGTACTGATAAAGTATTTTTGCTCTCTGGTGACCAACTGTAGCAATAGCCATCCCTAGGTGCCTATTATAGGACATCATTAAATTTCCAGAGTTAAATGGATAGGCAGATAAACAGTGCTTCCAGTAGAACTGTGGGGTTTTCTTTGCACCAAGGGGAGGAAGGGGATGTCGTGGGGTTTTTTCTTGGGATGTCACATTCCCACCTGCCCTTGGCACAGGGGACATCAGCAGGAATTGCACTGAAGATGGCTGGTCTGAACCTTTCCCTCATTATTATGATGCCTGTGGCTTCGATGAGAACGAAACAGAGTCGGATAACCAGGTGGGGATTAATCTCATAATTAAAAACAAATGAAGAGGGGAGGGGGGAAGCAGCAGACTGCTTTCTGTCCAGCCTCTGGTCATTTTCTGATTGATGGTGATTATAACAAACAATCAGATGTACATGGGTATAAAACTGTGAGAAGTGAGATCTGAACCCTTCCTGGGCCTGTATTGAATATTTACAGAAGATGAGCTTTTAGTGTTGATGTAACTTGGAACTTCTAGAATCACAGGATAACCCTCAGTTCTACCTCTGTTGATAAAGAATCTCTTAGCCAATTGTTGTTTGTTTCCTTTTTTTCTACAGATACTTACCAAAAAAAATACAGATAGCCTTTAGTAGCTCACTGATAAATAACCTAGCCATAGAGCAGGGCTTGATGTGCAGTGAGATCTCAGAGGAAATGAGGCTGTCCAAGACACAAATCCTGCCTCTGGTTCCCCCTGCACATTGGCAGGTGTGTGGCTGTCAATATTCACAGAATTCACAGAATCACAGGGTTGGAAGAGACCTCCAAGATCATCGAGTCCAACCCAGCCCTGACACCTCAACTAACCCATGGCACCCAGTGCCACATCCAGGCTTTTATTAAACACATCCAGGGATGGTGACTCCAGCACCTCCCCGGGTAGATCATTCCAGGACTTCATCACTCTTTCTGTGAAAAACTTTTTCCTGATATCCAACCTGAATTTCCCTTGGTGCAGCTTAGGCTGTGTCCTCTCATTCTGTCAGAGTTGCTGCCTGGAGACAGAGACCAACCCCAGGTGACACAGCCACCTTTCAGGAGCTGTAGAGAGTGATAAGGTCACCCCTGAGTCTCCTTTTCTCCAGGCTAAATGATGAACCCTTTAACCCTGTGTTTTTTGCCTCCCAAGGATTACTACTATCTCTCAGTGAAGGCTCTGTACACGGTGGGATACAGCACTTCCCTGGTGTCCCTCACCACTGCCATGGTCATCCTGTGTCGCTTCAGGTGAGTGGGGACACGAGCAGTGAGCTGTTCAGTCCCTGGAGGAAGGAGCCTGGAGCTCAGCTGCCCCAAACAGAGTTAAATGTCACAGCACAAGCTGGCTTGTAGCAGGGCAATTAATTCAGCCATAAATAAAAGATTTGGTTCAAGTAGCCTGGTTTGATGAACACGCCCCCAGGTGAACAATAATAGGATAGATTCAAACCCAAACAGGGATTTCACCCAGTGAGTTCCATCCTAAACTGCAGGTGCCCACTGGTCAGAGAGCTGAGCAATGCAAACTCCCAACCTATCACATGTGTTTGCCTGGGAGCTCCAAACTTTCTGTTTAAGGAGGGTTCACAAGAATAAATTCTTTTGTCACATGGATCCTAGAGTGCCCTGTCGTTTGCCTCCAAACTGGCACCAGCCAGCGTTACAGTTAAAGGTTTTGTCTGGAGATGGAGTAAGAAGGGGAAAATCGTGTAGCTGAGTTGCTCCCCCAGTTTGGACACACTCCAGAAATCACATTTCAGCAGAGGGTAAATGCAGCAGGAGAAGCTGTGGCTCTGGTTTGTAAAACTTCACGAGCTGCACTGGGCTCATTCTGTTGTCTATTTTATGCCTCTCTGCATCTTTGTACAAGAAAATCCCCAAATCCTCCTCTTTCTCAGGTTTAGAGTCAGTCTTAGCACAGTCCTGGCTTAGATGTTGCTGTTCTTAGCACCAAGGTGCTCTGGTCAAGTGTGTTCGGGCCCAGTGTGACATTTCCACAAAATAAAACAATTTTCTTCTTTATTTCTCTTCCCTCCCCCCCTCCTCTTTCCTCTCCAGGAAGCTTCACTGCACTCGGAATTTCATCCACATGAACCTCTTTGTTTCATTCATCCTCCGTGCAATATCTGTGTTCATTAAGGATGGGGTTCTTTATGCTGAGCAGGATGGAAACCACTGTTTTATCTCCACGGTGAGTCAAACTGAAACCAAATCCTTTTCCTTTACTTTTTTTTTTTTTTTTTTTCATCACAAGATTAAAAAAAAAAAAGCAGTGGGGCAGGCAGCAGTGTGTGGAGTATCATGAGCTGAGAAGTTATTAAGGGAAAAGAGAGTTGGTGTTTAACTTCCCTCCCAGTTCACAGCCAGACTGGATGTTTCATCTCATGATGTCACCAGTTTCCTTCAGAAAAAAACCTGCAGGTTTTATTTTCTGAGTCTGCCCTGATTGTTCCTCCCCTTCCCAGATCTGCTCTGTGGTAGATGGGATGAAAGCAGATATGAACAATTTCCTTCACCTGAAGGTCTGGTTTTTCTCCAGAGGCTCATTTGTTCTGGATGTCAGGCAGAGTCACATGTAAACAGGGTGACCATTCAGACACAGAGAATACACCTGATGGTCACATTCTCAGGAAATCATCAGCATTTCCCACATCTTTGTCTCTTAAATATGTAGTTTCACACAGAGCACTCTTTCACTGATGCATTTAGCATTTATCCTGTGTAAATCCCAATTCCTTTCACATTTAAGGCTAGTATTTGATATGATAAATCAGCTCACTGGGTGTAATTATGATAGAATTACAAACTGAGCTCTCCTTTATCCATCCAGTTATGAGCTGAATTCCCTGTGAGTCACTTCCACAAGGCAAGTGCAGCTGTGTAGTTTCTTAGTCAGGCTTTTCTTTGTCATTGAAACTAGTTTTTGCTCTTAATTCTTCTCCACCAGAAAGCTGAAGCCATGTTAGGTCTGTAGTTTGTTCCTGCCACTCCTCCAGTGGTGGCATCTGCCTCTTTGTTTGGAAACACTTAAAGCATAAAACACATTAAAATCAGCCATTTTATGACCAGATCTTCAGCCTGGGCAGAGCTTCCATGAAGAAACTTGAAATCTGATGGTTTAAACATCTTGATGGTAGATTTGGCCCAGAGGATGAAGCCAAAGTGGGAACTAATCACTGCCACCAGCAGGAGCTTCCATTTTATACAGATTCTGCTCAGATTTGCTGGAAAATCCTACTTTTGTAGGACTAATGGCATCTCACTGGGGTGCAGCACTGGAAAGACCAGTGTGTCCTACTCTCACAAGGTGCAGCTTGGTTGCCACCTTAGGCCTTTGTCACAGGATCATTTAGGTTGAAAAAGCTTTCTAAAATTGAGTCCAGCCATTCCCAAGCACCACCAAATTCACCCCTGAACCACGTCCCCAAGTGCCACCTTTGCACACCTTTAAACACCTCTGTGCATGGTGACTGCACCACGGACCTGGACACTGTTCCAGGCATTGACAGCCCTCTCAGGAAAGAAATTTACCTTCATATCCAAATTAAACCTCCCCTGATGCAATTTAAGATAGTTTCTTCTAGTCCTAGCGTTTGTTACCTGGGAGAAGAGACTGACCTTGTTACCACCTCCTGTCAGGGAGTTGTAGATATCCATGTCCTCCCTGAGCCCCCTTTTCTCAAGCCTAAACAAACTCAGTTACTTTAAAAAATATTTTTCTATTTTATTTTCTTTTTTTTTTCTAGTTTTCACTTGTCTTTAGTTTGCTCCTTCCCCCTCCCGTCCACAAATGAAAGCTTTCATCATTTTTTTACAGCTGATCACTCAGCCTCCTTTTTCCTCACAGTTACTTCCATTTTCTGTCCTTGAGTGACAACACTGCTGATGGATGGCAAAGAAGTGCAATTCCCAGCTGCACACAGGAGGGTTCATCCTTTCAGATCCCACTCTCAGGGCTTCCCACAATCATCCTGCCATTTCACATCCTCCTCTGGGTTTCTCAGTACACAACTGGATTCTTTTCTTCTCTGCATTTAATCCTGGAAGGGGGCTGAAGTCCAGCAATTGGTGTTCACTGGGGCTGTGAGCTCTCAGCAATACAGGACGTGCTCAAACTGCTCTGAAATGCTCCTTGACCATTTCCCACTGTAAAATTGGCTTCTTCCCCATCCAGACTTTGTTGTCTAAGTGATACCTGACATTCTTCACATTCTTTAAAACCTTTACCATTGAAAGTGTGTAATACCAGCCCCAGCTCTTTCCACTGGGAGATTTGGAGAGGTTGGAAGCACTTTTTTCTGTTAGGCCAAAGCAATGCAGAAATAATTTTGTCCTTCTCCATCCTCTGCAGGTGGAATGCAAAGCAGTGATGGTGTTTTTTCACTACTGTGTCATGTCCAACTACTTCTGGCTGTTCATCGAGGGGCTGTACCTCTTCACTTTGTTGGTGGAAACCTTCTTCCCAGAGAGGAGATATTTCTACTGGTACACAATCATTGGCTGGGGTATGTGGCTGTTCTTGTCTCAAACATGTCTCAATGTGCAGGAGACTCTACAAGCCCTGCATGGTATTTCCACAGCAGGTTTCAAACTCTTAATTTTTGTATAGAAGCACCACTGCAGCCTGAACTGAGTTGGGATTTTTTTGTGTGAACAGAGTTGCACTGAAATGTGGAGGACACCACATCTCTGTCAGGGGTGTAATCTACAACAGAAAATTGCCTCCTACAAGATATCATCTTAACATCAACTTCTTCAGCCTAATCAAATCTGCAAGGCTAAGTCCAGTCCATTTTCTAAGGCTTCATTTGTGCCTTTCTTCCAGATAATAACTAAATTGAAAATGTATCCAAAGGGTATTCACATCTGCTTATCTTACCTGGATGGGAAATAAAAACTTGCACTGGGAAGGAACAAGATTTATTTCAGAAAAGCCAGTTAAATTATGATAACCATGGTGACTATTTTTCATTCTGGCCTTCTGGATATAAATTAATTCCTGTGCCATGTTAATGCAAGCAATTCTTTGAAGCAGTCAGATGCTGAATTCAGAAGAATACATTCATTTAAAATGTTCCCTGAGAAGGTTAAACTAATTTTTTATACTTGTAGACACTTCTGAAATAGAAATAATCCCATATATTCATGTGTAAGGTCTACACACAAACCCCATGCCTTAAACTATTTTCCTTTGAAAAAACATCCTTGTGTAGCCCCAACCTTCAAGAAATCAACAGATGGTCTCGTTTTTTCCCTCCTGAAGCAGCTGTACACAACCCAAAATTTTCATCTTCTGGCAAAGACTCTCTACAGGAGGGAGAAAAAATGTTTCTAGAAGTACAGAGGTAGAGAAGGTATAGAGAGAAAGAAGTGAGCAAATTATCATAAATAATATGTGCCATGAAAATGCTGTTGGAAATGGATGGTTACTGGAAAAGGTTTTTGGAAAAGCAACTGTTGGAAAGGATGTTCAGGGTTCCTTTTGCACCATCCACAACTGTATAATCACATTATAGCTGAGATAAAAGTGTGTTCCCAAGGACAAATTGGGGGTTATGTATATGAAAATCTGACAATTAATAAAGAAAGCGAATCAAAATTGCAAATTGTAAAATCTTTGTAATCTGAACATAAATCAGAGGTTGTGTTCCTTTAATTAAGTTTGCACAATTTTCATATCTACAGATTTGTCTGAATGTGAGAATACTGAAAACCAGCATATATTAACTGACTTCAATATTTTTTAAATCAACCTTGTAATGAATGAATTACCCAGATGGATTCATTCTGTAATGCAACCTCGAAATACTTAAATTTTAGTTGAGTGCCATAAATAATAACTGGCTGTTCAATTTATAGACTTCAGAGAATTCCAGAATGGTTTGGCTTTGAAGGGACATTAAAGATCATCCAATTCTACCCCCTGCCTTGGGCAGGGACACCTCCCACTATCCCAGGCTGCTCCAAGCCCTGTCCAACCTGGCCTTGGACACTTCCAGGGATCCAGGGGCAGCCACAGCTTCTCTGGGAATTCCATCCCAGCCCCTCCCCACCCTCCCAGCCAGGAATTCCCAATTCCCAATATCCCATCCAGCCCTGACCTATGGTAGTGAAAGCCATTCCCTGTGTGCTGTCCCTCTATGCCTTGTCCCCAGTCCCTCTCCAGCTCTCCTGGAGCCCCTTCAGGTCCTGCCAGGGGCTCTGAGCTCTCCCTGGATCCTTCTCCTCTCCAGGGGAACATTCCCAGCTCTTCCAGCTTTTCTCCACAGTAAAGAGGCTCCAGCCCTTGGTTCATCTCTGTGGCCTTCTATGGATTCATTTCAGCAAGTCCAGCTTGTTTTGGTGGGCACAAATCACTTCAGATCCAAAACAGCATCAATAATATCCATTAATAACTCTCCAGATTTGGATGGTTTTGATTTGGATTTTTTTTTTTTTTTAAACACAATTATTTTTTTCATCTCCCACGTGTTCCAGCTGGACTCGCAGCTCCCCTGCCCCGGTGGGAGCAATTGGCAATTTGCAAAGCCCACGGAGGCACTTCCAGGCTGTGGATTCAATCCCTGGAGGGCAGAAGCAGCCCCTCAGCTCGGGGCTGGTGGGGAGGGAGCTGCCCTGAAGCAGCAAGAGCCAGGAGCTCAGCACTTTGCAGCATCTGGATGCTGATGGTTTCTTCAAATGTGCTGAGCTGTCAGTGTCCTCATCTCGAGCGATTAATGAGAGCTGCACGTGGCTCTGTTGATCCAGGCAGCTTTTCCTTCCTAAATCTGCAATGTGCTGGTGAATTCTCTGGATGGACCGCTGCCTTCCTGAGCTCTCTGCTCATGTCTGCTCCCAACAAAGTCAGCAAGAATAAATCTCAGCCTTCAGGGCTCTTCTGTTTTCTAACGTTCCTCACAAGCTGAAAAGGAGGCGATGGAGAGAGAGAGAGAGAGAGAGAAAAATCTTTTGGTGTAAAGAAAAGCAGTGTGAGTGTATGTATATTCATGCAGCAGATGGTTCAAAAACTCCAGGCTGATCTGAAACGTGGGGTTTTTAAATGTATTTTTATGACACATTTAGTTTTAATTCTGCCTTCCTGCACATTTTACAGATTTGGAACGCTATTCATAGCATCAAAATTTATACAGAGGAAATGAAATAAAACATGAGGAACGTGTTTTATAGAATCATAGAATGGTTTGGATTGGAAGAGACCTTAAAACTCATCTCATTCCCATCTCCCTTCCCTGGACACTTTCCACCATCCCAGCTTGCTCCAAGCCTTACCCAGCCCAGCCTTGGACACTTGCAAGGATGGGGCACCCACAGCTTCTCTGGGCAAATATTTGATATTGCGAGGTGAATTTGATAAAATTAAAATTAAAAAGTTTGATATTTAAAAATTATTTTTAACTCCTTTAAGGGCAAAAAGGAGTTTTGCCCTTAACACTGATTTTTTTCTCAGTGCTTTCTAGGTATTCACCTGTGAGAAAAGCAAACTTCAACTGAAATTAAATATACATGATTTCTTCTCCCCTAAGCCTGCCATTTTATTTCTTTATATCATTTTCCTTTCAAATTCTTCTCTGTGTGCTTGTTTGAAGGAGGAAGGCTCCATCAGTCACCCAGGTCTAACAGGGATATTTTAATTTCTGATGGAGGGAATATGATTAGACAGAGACTTGTCTAAGTGGGTTCAAATGGCTGACTAATTATGTGACATCAACACAGCCTTGCAAAATGTATTAAATATAATTGTTCCTGTCAACTCACCACAGTCTTGTTCACTGCTGGGAGCTGGGGTTATCAAAGTCCTTGTTTCGTTTGCTTTTTAGCACTTTATTTTTCCAGTGGTGCCTGAACAGATGTCAGCAGTTTCTTAGTCAAAGATTTTATTTACCATACAGTAAAGATCCAACTTACCCAGGGTCGTCTTGCATAAATACATTATTTTATAAAAATATTTCCACTGGAAAAAAAATCATATTTGTACGATTTTCAGAAAGGAAAATAAATCCAGGTTTCTCAGTGGGTTCTTACTGTTTTAATTAAATTTGCATTTTATATGCATTTTTTGAAAGTGAAGAAACGTCTGAAATAGGAATTAAATCCTTACTCCAATATTCTCTTTTTGGAGTCTGTTGTTTTGTTTTGGTATTTTTTTAATGAAAAAAACCTAAATATTCCTGCGAGCAGAGGAAACTGCTCGTCTATGGATTTGTTTTGGTTGAATAAGTAAAGAAAAACCGGTTATTTAAACAGCAACAGAGAAAATGCGACATATGTAAATCATTTACAACAAAACCACGGAAGAATACACAGAATCAAAAAATTCTATTCCAGCTCAACATCTGGCACTGCAATTCTTGCATGATTCCAGTAGCTCTAGACACGGATGTGGTTGATTCTGTCCTGCCCAGATTTGTTTTATTCTTCATGCAACAAGATGCAGTAAAACACGGAGCAATAATGACCTGGCACAGCATCATGCTTTGCTGTTCCCAGTTTGGCTGCTGCAATCCCAGCCCTGACTGAGAGGGATGTTTCTGGAGCTCTGAGTTAACTCAATAAATTGCATTATCCCACGCACAAGTGCTGTTAGGAACCAATACCTCATTGGAGAGGTTGTGTAAATGCTCCTTGCTGAATATCAGGTGTGTCTGGACTGTTCATGTGTCACTGTCTTGTCCCCTGCAGGTACCCCAACAATTTGTGTCACTGTCTGGGCAGTGCTGAGGCTTCACTTCGATGACACTGGGTAGGTGTTGCCGTGTGGGAAATGATGCCAGGTGCCTCCAGCACCATGGGCAGGGAGCCACAGGAATGTGGTGATTGGAGAGCACAGAATCACAGAGTGAAAGAATCATTCAGGTTGGGAAAGACCTGCAAGGTCACCGAGTCCAAGCTGTGCCCGATCCCCACCTTGTCCCCAGCACTGGGTGCCACCTCCAGCCCTTCCTTGGACACCTCCAGAGATGGGAACTCCAAACCTCCCTGGGCAACCCCTTCCAAAGTACCAAAACCCTTTCAGTGAAAAAACTCTTCCTGATGTCCAGCCTGAACCTCCCCTGGCACAGCTTGAGGCCATTTCCTCTTCTTCAATATTCTCCTTTCATTTCTGCCATCCATTTGTGTACAAACATAATTTAGGTCCAGAGTTCAAGCACTTCTCTGATCATAGAGTTACAGTTTGGTGTCTGTGCCACCACTGCACTGGGGAATTCTTAAAAGAGGATTCAGGCATCAGACCTGTAAACCTGCAGCTGACCCCATTCCCTGCTCCATTAAATTACTGGAGTCCAGGATATGGTTTGTCTCATCTTACAAGAGCTGGGAGTGGAATCCCATGAAATTCTCTGCTTCTTTCCCTCTGATTGTGGAGGAAGATGAAGGTGGTGAACTCAGCCGTAGAAATTACTGGAGATAAATCTAATACAATAGAGGAAATCTGCACAAGGCATTGCTGAGCTTTGATTTTCCAGGGCAATTAGGAGTTTAGCTTCCCACTGAGGAGGGTTTTCCATTAATTTTTCACAGGGGATGAAAAGGGATGAGACAGAAATCTGCATTCTGTCTTCTGTGTGGGGAAAAAAAAAAAATCATAAAGAATTCCAAAGGGTAGGTCCTTCCCAAAATTATCTATTTTGGTAGAGAAAAAAAAGCTGCAAATACCATGTTATAAAGGACCAAAAGGAAAAGCTGCTCCCAGAGCTGGACCTGCATATTTTGGTAGTCAATGTCTGCTTGGGGAGAGCAGCAGGTATGGCAGGTAGGAATGGATGTGGAATTACACCCTGAAAAGACAAACTGGTGATGCTTTTTCATGGGAGCTATGTTTGAACCTGGTGAAATGTTAGAAAAGGTGAGGCAGACTGAGTAAAGTTTCAAAAATCAGTCAGTGGTTCTGTGAAAACACAGAAATGAGGGAAAGGCACTTCATACCCAAATCCCATTTCCACTTCATGGAAGGTTATGCTTCAATTTTGCCTAATACTGGAGATAACTGGATGCAAAATTTCCACAAAACCCATTGTTTTGTAAGGTTTTCTTCATCCTTGTTCTTTCAGGCCTTCTCTGGAAAGCAAATAAAGTCTTTCCTGCACTGGGAATGCCAGTGCTGTGACCCAATGTTCTATTTTGACATTAAGACAAATTAAATCATTTATTTCTGTGCAAAACAAGCCAGAAACCCCTGTTGTGTCATTATTAGGATTACAGCACTGGCCCTGAAAGCACTAATTTCTCTTACAAGTCCAAACAGCCCTTGCATTTTGCAGGTAGAGAGAATATCTCGCAGAAGGAAAAAGAAGAAAAAAAAAAATAACCAAAAAATCATTTTATTTAGAGAAGCTGTTTAGCATGCAAGACATTTAGACAGGTTCTAGCTGAGAGTTTCAGTGGTCACTTTTTAAAAAATCAGCCAGCATTGTTCTGGGGGTGGGGGAGAAGCCAGCATGAGCCTGAAAACATTGTGGAAATGACTGCACTGGAAAACCACAGTGGCAAAGGCATGGACTGAAATACAGGCTCAGAGCCTGAGCCCCCTCCTGCCTGTTCCTGACAAAACTCGACTTCAGCTCCTGACTCCCATCACTGTAAGTGACAGGACTGAGGAGATAAATGCAGCTCCTGTTCATCCCGAGCTCTGCTCCTGATTTAAGTGGAGTTACTCCAGACCTGCACCAGAGATCAGCCTCTGGCCTCTGCAAATGGAAATCACATCCCTTCCCCATCCCCTGGCTCCCTTCCCTTCATCCATCCTGGAAAATAATAATTTCTTTTCATCCTGCCTCTCCTACCTGCACTGTAGGGAAGCATTTGACAGAAATTAGGGAGCTTGTTTGCATAGTGTAGAAAATTCCAGATGTTCTGTTGTGCATTTCCACTTTTTTATCTGAGCAGGAGATGGTGGTTCCTTCCCTCACATTTATCCTGTAGGTGTCACAGGGACGGGACATCCTTGAAAGTCCTTGAAAAAAAACAAAAAAACCTCTGTGTGAGCTTGATCTGATTCATTGTTGACATCTACAAGGTGGAAGCAGGGAATTGATCTCATTGGGGACACGTCCTGTAAAAACAGAGGAGTGGTCTAAGTAAAAGAAAAGGTCTAAGAAGAGGAGAAGAAAAAAGCAGAGAGGTGTGAGAATAGGAATTTGTAGGGGATGATGTATCACACCAGAGTACACATTTAAAATACCTCGGTGTGGGAAAAAGAAACCCAAAACAACATCCAAGATTCCCTTTGTCCCAACCATATTCTGGGATAATTAACTGGGATATTGGTCTCTACAATCAGATAACTGGAATTAGAGGAGGTGGATTCCTATCCCTGTAATTCCTCATTCCTACATAGACAAAGTGACATACATGAATATATTTGTACAGCCAAATTAATGTGAGAATTTGCCCAGATTCTTCCAACATTGGTCAATTCACTAAAGACTTTCAAGGCAGATTTAATGTTCATCATAAGAGCTCTGCAAATAATGGGTAATTTTCAGTAGAAAACTCCTAATTTATAAATGCATACAAAGAATTTAAAAGATAATTTGATTTTGGGTCCATGCCATTGTTGATCACTGACAAAAATCCTGATTTCCAGACTGTGGGTGAGGAGGTCCCTTTGAGCATTTATCCCCTCTCAAATATTTTAAGTTGGGCATCAAAAGTGAGATAACTTGGAAATATTAATTTGCACTTGAAAATCTCAGTCATCAGCCCTTTGAATTTTGGATGATTTCAGGTTTCCATGCTGTGCAAACAGAAGCAAAAATACATAATTTTGTGTAAATTTGACACCCCACCTCTAAATTTTTTCAGTTCTCACCAGTACCACACACATCCTTATTGTTGGTTTTATGGGAATCCAGTAAATTATTGCTCATCTGAATGAATATATATTTTTCAACTGAAATTAATAAGCGTTGTTCAAGTGAAAATTTTAAGTTTAACTGAAATTTCTAAACCAGCCATTTGGGATTTCTCTCAGATGTACTCTGATGGGATTTTAGCTCTGCCTCCTCACTTTTACACATGTATATAGTTTTGTTTAAAGATTTTCACTTTTCCCCAGATGCTACCACACAGCCATTTAAATGACACACAAGTTGCATTAAGCTCTCATGAGACCAGCAGTGTTTTATTCCTCTATGTTCTTCCCAATTGTTTTTTTTTTTTTTTTGGCATTTGACAAATGCACCATGACAGCCTCTGCTGGGATTTTGGCTCTTTTCCCAGTGGGAAAGAAAAACTCCTTCTCAGAACTGCAGGTACAAAGGAGACAGATTTCTGTGATTTTATATTTTCCAGGGAGAAAATCAGGGGAAGAAAGTGGAGACAAATGAAAGAAAATTTTTAAGCTGACAAATTCTTGATGACTTAAAATAGTCATGGAGACATTTCTCAATAATAAATAGTAGTCATTATAATACTGTAGCAGGGCGTGGAAAATAAGACAATTTTCATTATTATTGGTTTTCTAGCTCTAAAAATGTATGTTAAAATTAAAACCCTCTATGAATATAAACCATATATTTGAATGTCCAAGTGCACCTGTGTGAAAGAAACTTCTGCAGAATCCTTTGGTGATTTCAGATGAAGATTTTAAACTCTGGGGTAGAAATGTAATTTTATTTATGATTACTCACTAGCAACAGCTTAACAAAGGAGCTGACCCCAACTGTTGCCCAGTATTTGCTCCTTCTCAGATGAATCCTGGATAGGACTTGCAGCCAACCCATGAGTGGAAAATTATTCCTGTATGTGAATACAACCAGGATCTTGGTGCACTGGAAATGTGTAAAAATCCTTGTGTCAGGGTCAGAAACCAACATTCATATCTGTTAACCCTGGAAAAGGAAGTGTGACATCAAACTTTGGAATAACCATCAAAAAATCCCCATCCACTGACATATACATATATATATTTTTTTTTTTTAAAGGGACAACTTTATGGTTGCGTTAAAGACATTAAAACACACTTAAAGGGTTTTTCCAAATATGTAATCTGTTTAATAGGAAGTGCCATTGAAACTGCCACAGAAATATTTATTTTACTTCCAAATGATAGTGGGAGGCTGCAAAAAACAACAACAAAAAATCTGCAACAAGACAAAGTAAAGAACTACCACTTTGAACTTAGATAAAATAATTGAACTGCGAAACCAATCTCCCACATTCTGCCCCCTTAAAAACAGTTGTAAGTTCATTAATTTCATTGTTCTGTCTTGTTTTCTTTTCCCTCTCTTTTCCCCATCCCATTCTTTCCTTGACGACTGCAGCTGCTGGGACATGAATGACAACACTGCCTTGTGGTGGGTGATCAAGGGTCCTGTGGTTGGGTCAATCATGGTGAGTAGCACCTGGACAAAACATTTCCTCAGCTCTCCTGAGGACAAATAACCAATTCAGACATCTTCAAATACTTCACAAACCGTGCTGCATCCCTGTGCTGGATTATTACTTCGTTATTATTGCATTATTAAGATGGATTAATCCAAATTAAATGATGGAGCACTGCCTGCAAGCAAAGGAGTTATTCAGTTGCTTAAACACGGACACAAATGCCATAACCAAGACCCCAGAGCATGTGGAACATTTGTCTGGGGTTGGCAGACGTGATATATGGAAATTCTGGGCAATTTAGGGTGGGATCTGAAAGCCAAGTGGGACAATCCAGAGCATCTGAAACAACATTAAATGTCAGTGACCAGGCAAATAGACTCTGTCTGCTGAATGGGATTGACTCCACAGTACATTTATCTAAAATCAGATTTAAAATAGCACTTGGTCATAGTGCAGGATGCTAAATCATCAGCAAGGTGTCTGAGCTCTCTTTAATTGGTGGAGGTCTTGGATTTGGCTCAGATTTTGTCAGATACTTGCACATGGAGGACTGAGGGGTTCTAAAGTGCCCTGTGTGGTCTTCACAGAATGGCTGAAATTGGAAAGGGCCACTGGAAGTCATTTAGTCCAACCTCCCTGTTTAAGCAGGATTCCCTAGAACATATAATTCAGGATTGTGTACAGATGGATTTTGAATATCTGAGAAGAAGAAGAGAAGGAGATATTCTGGTGTTCCAAATAATATGGGGATTTAAAAATGCTGATGGGCTCCTGCATTTAGGAAAATAAATTGAGCCCCTGGACAATATGGTCAGTGGCACCTGAAAATCTGTCAGGCTTGCCACATGTGTCTCATTCTGGGCACACTAAGTTGTTCTCCATTCTCCACAGACAGAATTAAGCAGGTTTTCAGTGATTTTTGTGGGAATTCAGACATCCAGCTCACAGGTAAATAAAACTGGAGGGGTTGTTTTTTTCAGGTTTGGTGTTTCTCCTTTAAAATCTTTGGGCAGCTCTGTAAAGTCCAGCAATCATCAGATAAATGAAAGGAAATTCAGCCAATCTCAGCCCCAAAACAGAGACAGTTCAATGATCCAAGGGTTTTGTCCATGTGTGAAGTTCCCTGTTTTGCAGGCATGTTCTATGAAGGATCATGTTCTGCTTGGGGACTCAGTTAAATCTGGTTTCTATCGAAGGAATTAAAGAACCAAGCAACCAGCAAGGGACAACAGGGCTTCTCCATCCCTTTGTGGTCCTCAGATCAGACAGAAACTGCTGGAAAAGATGCTCATTTTCAGTTCCTGGTCTCCCTGTAGGAGTATAAGATTTTATAATGGATCAACATAAATTTCCACTGTTCTGGCTTTAAGAAGCTATGGAGTTGATAGCCAAATCTCAAGCCAAAGCATTGAAATAAACTAATTTTATCAAATTTCTTTTTTTTTTTTAATACCAATGGAAACTGTTAAACTGAGAAGTCCATTGGTCAGAAAATGGGAGTTTAAAATGCCTTTACTCTTGAGATCTTTCTTTTATGATTTTTTTTGTGCAGATATTTTTTTTTTTTTTTTTTTTACTCTGCACAGGTTGATAATGAAAAATGTTGAAACTTTTCCATTTATGTTTCTCCTCTCTTCTCTTGAAACTGCAGAAATTTTGCCTCATTTTAGCTGCAGCAAGGGAGATCAGACCCTTGTGAGCTTTCTCCATTAATCCTGACCCTATAAAACTTTTAGACTGTGGTTTGGAGAAAAAAAGGACACGTAACCAACAAGTCACTGGGAATGTCTCATTCTCACATTTTGTAAAAGTATGTCATTGTCACAATTTTTTTTTCTTTTTCTTTTCTTTCCCCCAGATAAACTTTGTGCTTTTTATTGGCATAATTGTAATACTTGTGCAGAAACTCCAGTCACCTGATATCGGGGGCAATGAATCCAGCATTTACTTGTAAGTACAAATAAAGCAGTAATCAATTTAAATTACTGATATACACATAGGAAAAACTCACAAAATGAAAAAAGAAACCTCAGCTGAATTAAGTTGTTTTTTGAAAAGAGTTGCAAGGTCTAGTCAATTATTTTGGTTGATTTTTCCTTTGTTTTTCAATCCATCAGCTGTGAAAGTGCACTTTAATGCCAGCTTTCACCTTTCTTTAAAAGGCTTATAAAATAAGCATAAATACAAGATTAAAAACAAACCCAAACCAAATCTAATGTTTTTATATGTCAGTTATCTGAAAATTAACATATTTACCAGGTATAAAAATTGCTGTTATACTCATGGGATGGTTTGCTGTGCTTCATAAATTCCATGGTTCAAAGTTCAGTGAAATTTGGTGAAAAGTTTTAATTAACTTTAGGGTGAATTATAGTGTAGGAAGATCCCCTAGACATGCTTATATGCATATTTCTCATATAAACTTAAATGCATTCACACACACTCCCCCTTGAAATTGTTTTAAAATGCACAAAAATCCTAAAATTTTCCTCTAGATCTTTGTAGTTTTGTAGTTTTTAAAGCTGGAATCCTTTTTATTAGTTTCCACCTCATAAGAGGGCAGAGGTTGGCCAGTTGAGGTGGTCATCATTATCATTTTAGAGTGCATGCAGTCATTCTCCATAGAAAAATTATATAATCCTCTGGAATAATTAGGATATGGGGGCAGTACATCTGGTGTTGGCCTAAACACCACACACATTTGCTTTTGGGATTTTTTGGTGAGCTTGAGTGTTTTCTTGCACTTATAGGCATAGGTAGGACCATTTAATTTAGCACTAAATTCCTGATGAAAATAGACAAGCTATGAAAACTCTAAATAAAACTAAAAGATGTTAGGGTAAAGTAGGAGATGCTTATTTTGTAACAAATACAATTATCCAGTGATTAGTCTCAGCCTAAGTAACCACAATCATAGTATAATGATGTCATCCATCCAAATGACAATTTTCAGGGAAAAATATGTCCTCCAGCTGCCTATTTTTCTTTTTTTCCCCCATTAGCTAGTTTAGATTTGCATTAAATAATAATATTTTTACATCAATTTTCATGTCTGTAGCCAGACAACCACTTACTGAAAACACTGCCCCTTTCATCTTGCTATAAACTCTGTTTCCAAAGCCAAAAATAAAGCTTGAAACTGATTCTGTGGGTGGATTTACCTCAGAAATGAAAGTGAGGATGAGAATTAGTGTCCAGGGTAACTTGTGCATGGTCTGCCATGGGCTTGCATGAAGGCTTCCCATGGATGTGCTGCTGGGAAGTCACCCCTGAGTCTTAGGTTGTGATTAACACCTGAGATGTGCAGAGCTCCTTCTGGCTCTGAATTTTTAAATGCATGTTTGGTGTCTGCTGCACATCTCACCTATGAAGCAAAGCATGCCACGGACTCCAAAGATTTAACTGGATTATCAAACATCCCTTGTCATCTTGGATCAATATGGTGACTGGGTTTTGCTGGTGTTTTTCCTATGTGTATAGTTAGCCACCAAAACCAAGAGAAAACATCATATTTTCTGTTCCATTCGCTGCCATTTTTTTTTTTTTCCTCATATTTTTTTGCAACTTTTATAACCGGGCGTGTATAAATCGATCTCACATTGATGTATGTGTTATGGAGTGTTGTTTATCCAAACAGATTTGACAGCAGAAAAGTTCACACAGGGACGACAAAAAAAGGAATGAAATTAATAATTCTGTGCAGATATCCACCAGACAGAGTCGATATTTGTGCACACATAGCCTGAAAAAAGAGAGCTTGTAAGGAAGGAGGACCACAGATCATAATCTGGTTCTGTCACCATATTGAAATATCTCACATTTAGACTGTGGCTCATATTAAGCATTTTCCATGTTCTATTTTGCTCTTTCAACCTATTATATCACCATTCCATCAGACCAAATTCCTCATCCAGATCTTTACTCCAGAATGTCTTTAAGCACTTTCCCTTTAGTAGGTGAGGAACGATGAGGTTGAGGAAGGATTTTCAGCCTGTTTTTGAACATAATACCACATGGATTTGCAGCAGGGATTGAGATTTATTCTCATATCAGTCTTCCATTTTTTGGAATAACCCTTTAGACAGCTGGTACTTCCATGATCAAAAAAAGAAAATGAAAAACACCAAAAACTTGGCTACTGAATTTTTTTTTTTTATGTTTGGTATATGTTTAAATTCAGGTCATTTTAATGACTATTTTTATCAGAAAAATCTACCTCAGGTTCTACTTTATAGACACTGTGGTGATGGTTCTGTGAAGCACTTAAGCCTGTATTTGATTTTTAAAGCCCTGGGGATGGGCTTAAATTCAAAGATTAATCATATATTGCTACTACTGTGCATTCATTATTAAAATCTCCCACTGGAGAAGTTAGCTGGGAGCTATAACAGGACCATGGCAGAAGAGAGCACTGCAGGGGAACTGAGGCTTAATTAATGCAGTGTAGCCACTGGAGAATGCAAGATTTGTCTTAGAATAAATCGAACAATTTGTATCATTTGCTGCACGTTATCAGGGCTTTACCCCCATTAAAAAAAAAAAGAAAAAAAAATTAGACTTCCTCTCTAAACAACCTGATCATTGTATGCAACAGCCTTTGCCTTTAGGCTGACAAAAACCTGGAGACACGTTGCTAATTCCTAACAATTTTCCTGGAGTGGCCAAGTGCTTCTGTGGTTATAAACTTCCATTTTATCCACTTGTGTGTTCAGCCATTCATCACCAGTCTCATGCCTCCCCAGCCTTTCCTCATGCCTTTAGTTCCCCTGGGAGCTGCCTGCATGCTGCTGATCCCATCTCAGCCCCAGACCCCCAAAACCCACCAGGATCTGCCAGAGCAATCACTCCATATTTCTTTTGCTGATGTTTTCGAGAGAAATTCCTCTTTGCAGCTGAAAATATTGGGGGTATCTAAAATAAAGATTCATCAAAATGTCTAAGCAGCTGAGATAGGAATTCAAAAAAGAAGACATTCCTTTTAATAGAATTTTGATTCTATTATTATTTTGGGTTATTTTTCTGAGAAACTTTCATACTTCCTCCCAATAGTCACATTTAGTGTGAGGAGTGACAAAGATGAAGGTTTTTTTTTCTTGAAACGTCTGGTTCCAGTTAATCTTGTGTCAGTCCTGAATAATTCTGCCAAATTAAGCATCGAACTGAAGCAAGATCATTAATGCAAATGGAATAGATTTTTATCTGAGGGAGAAGTTCTGAGATGCTCAGGTGGTGGGGAAGCATAAAGAGCTATTGATTATATTCTTAGAGTAATTAAGGCAGCTATTATCATAGTTCAGGCAGGTTTCTCACCCTGGCTGGTGAAATAAACAGCAGCAATGTAGACAGAAAATGGTTTGGGTTGGAAGGAGCCTTAAAATCATCCAGTGCCACCCCTGCCATGGGCAGGGACACCTTCCACTGTCCCAGGGTGCTCCAAACCCTGTCCAACATGGCCTTGAACATTTCCAGGGATCCAGGGGCAGCCACAGCTTCTCTGGGCACCCTGTGCCAGGTCCCACCACTTCCCTCACAGTAAATAATTATTCCTAATATCCAATCTAAACCTACTGTCTTTCCATTTAAAGCCAATCCCCCTCGTGACATGTCCTATTTAATCTCACAGAACGAATGACCATGTCTTGAACTGGTGACTGTATTTCCCATCCAGTTATAAATTAATTAACATGATTCCAAACAGAAAGAACCTCCCTGGTTTTTAGCAATCTCCAATTGCAGTTTGTAAATATTTTGAAGGAGATTATTTAGGGATAGTTACCCCGTATGCTGAGAGCCAAGGAATTAAAGGGATCCATGGATTAAATGGGATCTCACAGTTCTGGGGATTGCAAACACATATTCACAACCCTACGATGGTTCAGCACACAGAGCAGCACATCAGGCCCACATTATTTGCATGGATTTATCATCTCTCAGTTTCTTCCTGAATTTAGGAATTTTAGGAAATGGATAATAAACTGATCTGGCAAGACTTCACTGTTTTTTACAGTGAAAAATCCACCCAATGGTGTTTAACTTGGTATGTCAGAATCTGTTTTCAGACATCCTGGTTTTGGTCAAATTGTTGTAGAGAGAGTACATCACCCCCCCAAGAAAAAAAACATATTTCTACAGAAATGCCTACACAAAGCTTAAATCCACACCGTTATTTTCACAAGCATTGTTACATTGCTGAAATATTCACTCTACAGGGAAAATCATCAGCATCACTGCCATAAAACACCACAATATTTAGTAGGTGCATGATGTAGGTGCATGCTGGAATAACCCTTAAGATTAAAGAGTCCCACACATTTCCATCGAATCTTTGTTTCTTCATCCATTTTCAAGGGTCAAGCACATATAAGTGAAAAAAAAAATCTTTTTTAAAAATTTTATTATGATTCCCAGTTTATCATAACTGGTATAATTTGGGAGGCGGGGGGAGCCTGTTTCTGCTTTTGCTTTGACAGATTCTTCATAAATTTTGTATCACATGTTGAAAGCTCAATGAAAAGAAAATAAACCCCACATATATATCTAGCTAATTCAGGTCTACGTCATTCCTCCACTCAGCATCTTGCTGGAAAGAAAGGAGAATCATGGCATATATCATAGGTAGGTATGATTTTACCTATGGTGCAACCTAGAGGGTTAGGGCAGCAAAAACAATGTTGTAACCCAGATGTTTTGGTAAACAACACTCCTCTAAAATTCACCTCCAAAGTCACTGGACACGCAGTGATTCATTCTGCTACTGCTTTGTCTTGCTGCAAGTGCTCAGAGTGCCAGAGTCGATAATTATTGGCAGGGTCTTGGTGCCAAAAGGCTCGTTTTTTGGCAAGCAAATGGCAGATGTTGGATGGACAGTGTGTTCTCTAGGAGGGCGCTGCAATTTCTGAGCCCCAGGTGCTGCCAGCTGGGTGCTGGGACAGCCAGCAACAAAAGGAACT